TATCCAGAATGCCTCGTTTTTGAACACTTGTGACCAATTCTCAGCTATTTATGGTAGGTAATGACTAAAAATGACTAATTACTGTGTATTATTTAGCATTTAATAACTTTTTGGTGTTCCAGGTACTTGAAATATTGAATAAAAATCATTTTATCAAATACCTTCTGATGTGTAGCTTATAGTATTTCAATCTAAACTGTAGAAATTGAATAAAATAACAGCAGTTGTTAATATGATAAGTGATTCTAAACTTTTGAATGCTAGTGTGTTTTTTACACTTCTATTCATAGAATCCAGCTTTTCTGTTCTTTTCAATGAACTGTTTTAAAATGATTGTCCATAGTAATAAGCCATACGCTACAGATGCTGCATATATAGATTAGGTTGCAACGCACTAATAGTCCTTAAATTGTCTTGTCACTCTGCCTTTGATTGCTCTCTGTATTTATTTACTTCTTTTTAAGGCCATATTAGTACTGCAACAAAATTAAATGATCAGTTAAACGTAAAAACAACCAAGTTAATATTTTACCAAGGAAAACTACTGAAGTTTCATTTGACCCTCCAATTGAGAAAAAGAGTGCCATTGGATTTAGGAGCCCACCCTGCACATCCTGTGCCTGAATCTCTCTTTTCCTGTCCCAGTTCTGTTTTCCAGCCATGCACCCATGTGCATATATGCACAGACAGTGACAGGAAATGTCTCCATCTCCACCCTGAATACTCACTACAACCCAGTTTTGTTTAAAATGACATTCAGACATTCCTTGGGCTCAGTACCATTTATTTCCTGTCCATGTGCGATGTGTGTAAAAGAGACTCTCGAAACCTTTAATTTGGATCTTTTTCTTTGCCTTTAAAGCCAGTGGTCTCGGCCATTTTCAAATGACAAACCACAAAGGCCCCCAAGTGGCTTGTTTTGTTCAGGCTCTGTGATCCAGCTTCAAAATGCTCTGTAAGGCTGCCGGTCTGAGAGTCTAAAGGTACTTATAATTGAAGTGAGAAGGACAAACAGGATGCCCTTCTCAACCTGATGCATAAGAGGAAGGAGTAAGAAAACCACAGCTTCAATAACAAGGAAAAATGTAGAATTTAAAGGTTTGGCCTTATCTCTGATGGAAAATGTGCAATTTTGGTTTAAAGGGGAATTCCAGCAATTTTTCAAAATTTCTGCATAATTTAGTCATGGAGGCATGCAGAGTAGTTTGATGTGAAATGATGCATTTAAGGGGAAACGTACCACGTTAGATTTCTTTACAAGGTTGATGAGGAAGCAAAGGTCATGTCTACAACATAAATATAACCATTGTATCTGCTATGCAAAACAGCTAGAGAAGGCTAATAAAGGTAAAATAATATGAATTTTATATATATATATATATATATATATATATATATATATATATATATATATATATATATATGTGTGTGTGTGTGTATGTGTGTGTGTGTGTGTGTGTGTGTGTGTGTGTGTGTGTGTATGTATGTATGTATATATATATATATATATATATATATATATAGGGCTGGGCGATAAAACGATAACGATAATTATCGCGATATAACTTTTTCTCGATAAATGTTTGATATAATACACCATTCTCACACTTCCACGTTCTAGCGAAAGTCTTGGTGGCCTAACGTGAAGCAGCGCTTCGTCACTCGCACGACACGGCGAATTAATGATACTGTAGATCAAACAAGACACAAAAGCACCGCTTTCTGTTTACACGTACCTAAAAGGAGGACTCTGTTTGATACTGTTGATATTTTGCGGTTCACCCCTTAAACTACTGCAATTGAATATCCAGTCGTCGCTAGCTGGTGTCTGAATACTGTGATGTCATTTGTAACGGGGTAGCCGAGCGCTCGTCACCAGCTAAAAATAATCTGTTTTCTTTTTTAAATTATGACTATTACAAAATAGCCATGCTTTTCCAGCTGGTACAAACAGCTCACCAGACACTTTCTCCCACTCTCCCATGACAGATCTGTGAAATGTTCCACTGTTTGGTGAGTGTTTGTCATGTTCCGACCATGAAGGATATATGTGTGTGTGTGTGTGTGTGTGTGTGTGTGTGTATATATACACACACACACACACATTTTTTTATATTTGAGATAAGCAAATATAAAAAAATGAGATAATAAGATAATGAGAAGTCTCAAAGCAACTGTAAAACTTTTTAAACCTTTTATCTAATAACTTTTTAGTGGTAGCTTTTAGAGGCTTTAATCCCTTACGTCTGGTTCCTGTAACTATGGATGTCAAAAAAATTTCTCCAGAATGTAGCATTTCATTTCAAATCATTCTGCATGACCTATTTGCAGCTTAACTACTTTAAGTAGTTATTTTCCCCCTCAGGTCCATTTAAAACATTTAGTCATAATTCATTTTTACATGAACGCTTTTCATTCTCCCTTTATCCTTCAATTAAACAGGGTATTTTTGTTTTTTTAAAGACCTATACCTTGTTCTTAAGAACTTCGTCTTTCATATTCATTACATATTCATATCATATCATAGAATAGTCTACCATCCAGAAATATCCAGCCAACAGCGTCCTGTGGGCATCATGTCAGTAATCCTGTGGGGGTCCTGACCTTTGAAGAACAGGGACAAATGTATGTACTACGTCAAACTCTTTCAAAAAAAAGTGTCACAATAAGTCACAGTTTGGAAATCATCACATTGTGGCATGTGTGACAGAGTTGCAAATTAAATCTGCAGTCAATAGGGCAGTGAACTGTCATAAAGTACTTTTTTTTTTTATTAAAATGACTATATCCTTCATTTTTATTAGCATTTATTTTTTCTTTAACATCCACTTATGATATTTGAGTTTTTATGTACCAAAACTGTCATTGTTCATTTTTTTAGGGGTAAGTCAGAATATTTAATATATTTGAATAGTAATGAACTTAATAGATAAATAGTTTTCTTTAAATACAAATTAGTTTCTCTCTAACATTATACGTTAACATATGGATGAATCATTAGATCTCTGAACAAGAGGTTCCAGCCCGCAGCTCCAAAGTGTGTCTGTACCGTGTAGCAGAAGGTACAAAGCACACCTATGGTGAATAGGAATTAGGAATGGGCATTTGCCCTCAAATCTGATATTCAAATTTTTAAGAAATTAATAAAAATTTCCCGTTACAATGCCCTGTTAAATTTACTAAATAATAAAACTTTTATTTTATTGAATCTATATGAGTAGAGTGTAAAATAAGCTTGATATTTTGACATTTGTGCTTTGTACTATCTGCTACCCGGCACCTGAGATCCTCTGCTGACTTGGTGTGGACCTTCTGGTCTGGTGTGTGGTAGCTTTTAGCTGGAATCTGAAGTCTTTTTATGCTTCCTCCTTTAGAGTAAATAGATAATAAACTTTGACCAAAACATAAGCCACTGTCTCTACACTGCTCTCTGATAGAGAATAGACATCTCATGGTTCTTCTGAGAATTGAGACAAGCTCATTTGCATATTGAAAACTGTAGCTATTAATATTCGATTTGTTTTACTACTTTCATGTTCGGACATTCAGACTGATCCATAATAAGATGTGCACAATATGTGCACTGGTTTTGACCGTTTCTGGGCTTGTTTTGGTTTGCTGGTTTTTAAAAATCTGTGCAGTCCCGCTGTGCTTTTTATTTTGAGATTGAAAATTCTGCTCTAAACACAATTTTTTATGCTATCACTGAGGACAACTAATTTGTTTAGGCATGTTTGTTTATAGTTTATTTTACCAGGAAAATCTCCTTTAAGATAAAGATCTTGGTGTACAGAGGACTGGGCATTTAAAAAAAAAAAAAATACAGGCATGATAAATTATGCTAGTGCAGATCATAGGAATTTTGTAGTTTATAGGCAAAAAAACATCAATACTACTGTGTTTAACTGTGGATTAAGTTATTAAAGTTTATATGATTGTACTAAACTATGTTGAGGCTATCAGAACAAAACCTTCTCCACTTTTGTCATTTTTACATATTTTGAAAACACAATCTGCCCTTTACATAGTGTAGACATTTCATGATGACTTGGCCAACAGAAGTGTTTGGAATAAAATCTCTTTACATTAACTTGCATTAAAAGTTAATATATTTTGTAGTAAATTGTTATTGGCTTTAATTGATATGTGGAAGTTTTTCACTTCACATCTTATTTACAAAAAATGTTATTTTAAGGACTCAATGATCTGATTAAAAGTTGTTTTTTACACTGTTTTTGAGTGTACAGTAATACTATTTTATGTGCATTTAATCAGTATACATAATGTGCCCGCTTTGCATAAAAGAGCTACATGTACCCTCCAGAATTATTGGCACCCTCAGTTAATCAGAAATGTTCCATTCTGACTCATAATTGTGTGCAGTCTCATGAAAATGTATTAAAGTTCTGAAAGGGAATTTTTTTTTTTTCAGCTGTGCATTCATACAGGGTCTTTGCTGACGTTTTTTGAGCTTAATAATGTGCCACAAATTTTCAAAAGGAGACAAGTCTGGACTGCAGGAAGGCCAGTTTAGCACCCGCATGGCACCTAAAGGCATATGTTGCTTGAAAGTTAGCCACTGTTACCACCTATATCATAACAGACTTTGGCTTTTGAACTTTACATTACAAATGTTAGAAATAAAGGTACTGGGCAGGTACATTTTTTGTTCATCAAGGTACAAACAATGTAAATGTACCCTCAGTAGTCTGAAGGTCCATTTGTGCAGTGGAAAAGTACATATTTGTATCTTTTTATAACAATGCTTTCAAATAGAACAATAAAATAAAAAGCCTGGAGACGAGACAGGGTGTACCAACTGTACCAGCGTTTTTTAGAGTTGGGTTTGTACTTCACTTAAATTCGATTGGCCAGGGTAACTGCACTGAGCTTTCTGCTGTAATGTTTGATGTAGTGGGAGAATCCATATGTCCCAGAACTGCAATAAAACTATATCTCCTGCAGAACTGCAGTAAACTATTATCTCCTGTGTGTTTTAGGTTCTAATTCTGACATGGTGTTGGTATTAGACCCGCTAGTCAGGGAGGTGGTGTCTTGCCCTTTGACCCTCCATTCTCACCGTGACTCTGGCTCGCCTTCCTCTGATGTCATTTCTTCCTACCGGGAACGTTCCGATTCAGCAGAGCCCAATAGAAGCAGGGATTCCTTGCAACGCAAACGGCTGGATTCGGGTGCTTCGGAGCATAGTCATGCCTGCACATGGCCCACTTCCGAGTCAGATGCATCTGAGCTTGGTGCACCCTTGGAATGGGCCATGGGAGGAGAGCGAGGAGCGGGTGGATCCTCATTGAGCACAGATTCAGAAGCTGAGACTAAAAATCATGGGCCAAGTAAGGTTGATGATCTGTGCTCTACCATAACCACTAGCATGGAGACACCTGATGGAGTGGTAAGCTCTAAGAAGACAGCAAAGACCAGCTGCACGCTGAAGGAATCCAGTGGAAAGCCTACAGACAGCATCTTGAAACAGAAGGTAAAGCACTATAGCAAAAATATGCGAGTTGGTGAAAGCAGCACAGCTTCATCACAGGGAAATTATGCTAATGATAAAGAGTTTCCACTAGAAGGTAATGTTTAGCTGCAGGTGAGATTGTGTTCAGTCTCTTTGACCTCTCACTCTGTCTGCTGTTCACATGCAGTGTGCACAAATGCTGTGTCCTGGTTTTTATAACACCCTTGTTTGGGGAACAGCCATAAACAGCAGTGTTTTATAGGGACAGCCTTGCTACGTAAACAAACTAGCCTTATCCTTTCTCCCTCTTAACATTATCCATCTGTTAAATGCCTACACATATGCATAGCAGAAAGCTGTTTATTATGTCACCAAACTTATGTGCAGTCCATCGAGGAACAAAGTTTTTTATTTTTTAAGAACATTGACATTGTAATGCTTGCATAATTGTTTAATTGTTTAATTCATTTTTAAGAACCAGATATTTGTAGAAAGTTGTAGAAACTTCTGTATTGAATGTAAAAATGTGTTATCCATGGGATATCTTATTTTAAAATCGATCGGAATGCAGAAAAGTACTGTAGATAGGCTACTGCTGTAAGTGTTAATTTAATTTTTTTGGATCTTAATTTATTGGAATTTATTGAACCTTTCTGTTCCCTAGGTCACATCAGGCACAGACACACCGTTTTCTCTTAACAAAGATAAAGGTAATTGTAATTATTGTTCTTAATATCCTTCAAACTCAGAAGCAATGTTTGAATAATCAGCTCACATGTGTTTTATAGGTATAAGGGACATCCTGTACTCTTATTTGTGTCTGGAGATTATGCTATTTTTTTATTATTACTATGATTTTTTACTTTATATTTTTACTCACTATTTTCAGTCTTGCTTTTGCACACCTATTGATGCAAGACACACGCATTGACGCATCTTGCATGTATCATGAATAGTACCAGTGGAAGGTTTGGACACAACTGATTGTATATCCTTGATAATCAGTCATTTTTGCTCTAAAGGCTTAAATACTTACACTTTCTAGCCTGTTAAAGGATCCCAGGTCATGAAGCTAATTGAGAGAATACCAAGCATATAAAAGCTATGAAGGACTAAAATCTAAAATATGCATCTGCCTTTACATTTATTTAAAATAAGCAAATAAAAAGCATGAACTGTAAGTACAGAGGATTGCTGTGCCTAAGTGGAGAATGGTGTGACCCTAGGCATTGTCTTCAGACCATGGTAAAACAGCGCAACTGGGCACTGCAGTGCTCAGAGGAAAGCAGAGCATGTGCACGGTGTGGAATAGAAGTGGAGCAAAGTGTTTTTTTGCTCAGAGTGCGGAGTGGCTTTCCAGAAAGTCGGAGTGTCTCCAGTATTCCTCCATCCTGTGACATGAGTGATGCGGCAGTGCCTCTACAGCTCACATATCATGGCACTGATCACAGATATTGCACGCCATTCATCTTGTGTTATCCATTTTGCTGCACGTATTGATAAAGATAATCACGTTAAAAGCATGTGCATTTGTTTACCTTGGTAGTTTTCTAGCTTGTGATCGGGCCATGTCTTCAAGCCTAAGCCTTCCAAAAAAAAGCCTGTATAGCCCAGAATGTTTAACACATTTTTTGTTTAATAACGACCCTAAGTGTAGCACGGAGTGAGCGCTTTAAGCCTTGAAAGAACCAGCTCTTTGTATCTTTGTAGCCAGTGAAGTGATCTCAATAAAGAGGCCACATGTGAGAACTCTGAGAGGTTATGTACCAGTGGTAAGAGAGAAGTACAGTTTTTGGGAGTTCTTGGCAGGTAGGTAGATCAGTTATGTCTTGTCGAGGTTTTGAATTTAGGTGATTCATCCATCCTTGAAGGGATATGAAAAAATCAGCCAGATCTGTTTTGAGATACCAAGGATGAAAGAAAATGGAAGTACAGCTAGGTGGCAGCATAACAGTGGTAAAAAACCATGCAAGCTTATTGCTGATCCTAGTGATTTAGTGTACCATGGAAAGAGAAGTGGACCAAGACCTGACCCTTGGGGGATGCTGTGGGGAACTTGGAGAGAACCTCTCCAGATTGCTTGGTAGGATCACTCTTAAGAATTTATATGAGTATCAAGGGTGAGGAGTGCTGCTGATACACAACTCCAAAAGTATTCAGATACTGTGGTTCACGATGACAAAGGCAGCTGACAGATCATCGAGGACGAGGACCAAGGACGTAGAGATTTCTCCTGACTGTGTGCAGCGCTTCTGTGAATGAGAGGGGTGCTGTTTCTGTGTCATGGCTTGTAGTCAGTTTGATTGGCATCAAGGAAGGTGGCATAATAATTGCCCAAGGATAACCCATTCTGTGGTTTTGCACAATAAATGGAAGGATTGAAAGTGATCGGTTTCACAACGTTTGTTGCATAGAGCAGTGGTTCCCAAACACTGGGTCTTTTGATTCTGACAGTGAGCAGGGGGTAGTTAGTAGAACAACTTCTAAAATATTTTATTATTGACATTAATAAAATTAGTATTACTATTGTAGTCTTAAGTCCTACTATTAAATTTTATGGAATTTTAAATGTATTGACATACATCACATCTCTTTAGGCCTTGAATGCATATAGGTTGCTATTGGCTGCTTTCAGCTGAAGCCCAGCCTAAGGAGAGATGTCAAATATATAGAATTGACAATATTAACATACATTTTATTGCGTTTTATTTACTTGCCATAATCAAAGTAGTGGTGCATGATCATTGGTTAGTACGCCTGAATCGACTGATCATGTGTGTCATGAGATCATAGTACCCCCCACATTAGCTTCCCTACTGGTATGTAAAAATCACTGTGGGTTGTGCATTGGTCCTTGCTGTTAAAATGTTTGGGAACCCCTGAAACAGTGGATGGGTTTCTTGAGCTGTGGCATAAATTGTGCTGATACAAAGAAACTGACCACATGTTAGTGATGTATTGATCATTGTGATCAGAAATTTAGCACTGGGATGTGCGTCTGATGGTTTTATAGTTATAAGTTTCATCGCTTCACATCTTTAGATGACAAGGTCTAGATATAGTAGCAAGATAAAATTCAAATGAAGAAATAGAGCATGTCCAGGTGGGGTTAATGAGCAAATCTGTATGACCCAACTGAAAGTTCTGGTAGCATGGGAGAATGGGAAAGGGCAGTAGATGTGTTCTCTGGGGTGATGTCTTTGTAAGTGCCAAGAAGTATAGGAACTGATTAGTTGTATGAGCAGTGATGAAGTCAGCTTTGACAATTCCAAAGACCTCTAGGTACTACAGCAGTTGGCCTAGCAGGGTAGGTGAACCGATTGTGATTCTGTTTTTAGAGTTTTTGACCTATAATGAGAAGCAGCAAGGAGAAGTGTCTTTCAGAAGCACATGATTATTAAAGTAGGTATCAAGCATTTTAAGGGACACAGCCAAGGAACAGTTTGGCAGACCAGAGTGTTATGCAGTCCTCCTCTGTGCGCTTCATCCATGGACTCATGCAGGTAGACTCCTCCTGCCTTTGTGTAACTGAGTCTGTAGGCTGTGACTCTATAGTTGCTGCACCAGTGGGGGCTAATGAGCAGGTGAAAATGGATAGTGTAGAGGGTGAGTAAACCTAATGATTGAAACTAGTTCACAGGCTACTTACCTTCATTTTGAAGAAATGACCAGTCAAAAATAAAACAGTATTAAAATCCCAAGCTAGTGACATAACAGCAAAGCTGAAAACCAAGCCACGAATTAACTTTGAACTGAGACCATACGTATAAAAACAATTAAACACCCCTGATTAAGTGTGTCCAAACTTTTGGTTAGTACTGTACATAATGCACCTTCTAGGACTCTCATTTCTTATGTTTATGATTCAGGAGGAGTGGTGGGGGCCTAGAGGGTGGGGGAGTGTTTCCACTCTTTTCAGTATCAAGACGTCCTGCCCTCTCCACTGTCTAATGGCTGCATCCCAAAGCCCTCACTCGTTCTCATGACCGAATAGGGCAATTACAGCATGCACAAGCTTAGAGGCCCTGTCCAGTGTGAGATTGTAATCTACCATTTTTTTTTTTCCCGTTTTGTGTCTTTTGTAACTTTGAAAGGAAGGGTCCCGTATCAGCTATGGTAAAAAAGTAAATAGGCTTTGGAACAAGCCCAGAAACTCACTGTTTGCTTAACATGTGTTCTGCGTGTATGTGACAATTTCTGGGTACATACTTTTTTGTACACACCTGGTGTACAAAGTAAACACCACTCGCCTATGTTTTTAACTTTTCACTTCTCATCTAGTTTTTTTTTTAAAATGGTTGTCTCTGTCCTCTTCGGTTGCAGTTCCCAGTATGAGGGGTAATGATTGCAATTTTGAGTAGGAAGTGTTATTTTGTTTTACATTCTTAATGTTTTGTGTCTTTCTAGTACTTACAAGCAAAACTGCAACTTCTCAGATGTTCAACCGAGCAAGCTCAGTGCGTGACAGAGTGCGAAAATTTGCAGAACCTGCAGCGATCTCTAGCCAGACTAAGGATGTACAGAGAACCATCCATAGAGGGCCCTCCTCTACGAATGCGTTTCTCACAGTGCCAGTGACTCCAGCCCACTCTGAGAGTCGAGATGCAACTCCATCCCTTTCTTCCTGTTGTCTGCACGCCTCTCCAGGCAGAGGGGAATACGTCAGCAAAGGCCTGCCTGCCCAATCGGAGGCTCTGTCTAATGTCCAATCACTGGGAGCAGTGGGCGGGCCGCAGAACTCCACTGAAGATGTCAGGAGTCCTTCCTACAGCTCAGAAGAGGGGCAGGCTCCCGAGGGAAAACCATCTTCAAGGACATCAGACCACCAGGGAGATCCCGAGTCCAACATGAAAACCTTCCTCACCATTGAGATCAAGGATGGCCGAACCATCACTCCACAAGTGTCGGCATCATCTTCGTCCATGGGGGCCAGCATGATGCCCCGAATCATCACTGGTACCTCTGGACAGAGGGCAGGTGGGTAGTGTGCTGGTCATGATATTGTCAACTCAGTGAAGGCTACCTTGTTTAGGAAGTACACTACCATTCAAAAGTTTGGAATTATTTGTCATATTAATAATCTTTGTCATTTTTCAATGAATAATAGCTTATAAAATGTAAAATGAAATATTGTGAATTAGTCCAAAGGTATTATGAATTGAGTCCAAAGGTATTCTCAAATGTGTTGTGAAAAAAAAGTTAATTAAATGATCAAAAAATGCTCTCTTAATTTACTTGATTTATTTGTACAAAAATTTTATCTGTCTCAGGATTTATTCACCACCTTTAAAATATGAGCCATCAAGCCATTGTGGATACCAAATTTAAACTTGATTGTACTCAGCCTCCATAGTCATTTTAGAATCATCCACAGCTCCATTAATCATCCTGGACACATCTAAAATTTCTACAATTTACAGCCTCCTATTAAATTTTTGGAACCTTTTGCACAGTACTGACTTTGTAATAGAATGATTTTATGCATATATCTGCAACCATATTTTAAATGGTGACTCCAAACCTCTGAACAGTAGTTCATGCTAATAATTCATGTTAATAAATCATTACTTTTTCTTTTTTATTGCCATTCAGAAGTTGATTTTACAAAGGTTTGATTCAACAGTCTTGAAGCATCTTTAACTGATGCAGTATATCGTTGCATTAAAATCCCATTTAAGTAGTGTTTAGTTAAACAAAATTACTTTTATTGTTTTACAGAAAAGCGTTCAAATATCGGCACCTTTGGATCCACTGAATCATATCAATATGTTAATTTATTTACTATGTTATTATAAGCTTATGGTGTTGCTTTATAGTGGGAGAGGTTACTAAGGACAGATGCTGGTAGGTGAAATGCCATCAAATTGATGATGGTTTTTGATGATTGTAAGTGGACGGGAATCTTTAAATGCATACTGAATGTCAGATGAACAGATACTGTACGCTGAAATAAAGTTTCAGTTTCAGTTCAGTTTGTGTTCAATTTTCTGGATAACACAGGTTATGTTAGGTGGCCTGAGTAGCATGATGCCTTTTAAGTTGAATATTTCTAGGTTTTTAAATCAAGAACATAATGGAACTTTCATTTCTTCACTGAGTTCTGTTCTCCCCGAATAGGTGTGGCACAATAAGTTTTACAGATGTCTATCGTAGAGAGGATTGGATTGGTTGAATGGAATGCACTGCACTGCATTTTAGTATTTGCAGTAGCATCCATTTTGGTATTTGGAAACTGGAAATTACGCCATACATCTGAACACTTCTATATGTTATGCTCACAGTTAAATAATGGATGAAAAACCTTGTTTGGTGGGTTGACACATGAAATGCTAGATGTCTATTCCACTGTCTGCTGGAAACTATTTATATTACTGTTCTACTTTTCTTCTGCAGGGATATTAAAAGCTTTTTTGCTGCATTTACTTTGAGATGTGCAAATGGGACTATCACTCACTGTAGATCGTGAGAGGACTCATTTAACATTAAAGTTTGGAAGATAAGCATTAAGAGAATTTATAAATTTCACAGTGTTTACAGTTGTGCAGGAAAATTATACTAAAAGCTTTTCTTAACATTCTCCTAATTGAGTTACTGCTCACCAGCTGCAAGAAGTCCAACCAGATAAGACCCTATCTTTATAATCACAAGGAACTAGCTCACGGCTCACACATACACACACACACACACACACGCTCTCTCTCTCTCTTGCAGTGTTTTTGTCACTCTGCCACAGCTCTGTCACATCTTCCTTTTTTGGAAGCACTTCGCTCATCCTCGCCTCAGAAAGTGGCCTGCATGCGCTCTGGGCATATTTCAAAGACTCCACATTTCCATTCTGTCATTTAGTTCATACTTTTGCCCAAAGCATTAGCCAGGAGTAGGGAGAGCCGCTATAGAGCAGCTTTTGGTTAAGTCTGCTTCTTTAAGAGCTCAACAGCGATAGGCATCAGCTGCCATCAAAACCATGACCTTGAGTTACAGCCAAGGTCTGACCAACCTCAACTGTGTGGCTGTCTGTTTTCCTATAAGCACATGTAAGGGTGAGCAGTATGGCAAAATAAAATATGGTGAAGCAAGGCTGTGTGTAAACTTGTTGAGCAGGTAGTGCTAGTGCTAGAAAAGTTGCAAGTGTTGTAGCAGAAATTAAAATATTGTAGTACTGAGATAAAAATTGCATAATCCTCCCAAAAAGTATTTATCCAATTAAGCAGAACATTTTTTTAAAGAAACAGAAGCAGTATTAATAAACTTAATGTTTTGTGAAATATGGCAAGTTTATTTTCTCCATTATAATTCAGACTACCTACAAGGGGGTGCTGTTAGCACTCAAGCAGCAGTGCAGAAATTTTGTACAACATATCACGATGTAGTGAGAATAGCTCACAAATAATTTAAAACAAATAACTGACTAGAACTTGTATGGGCACTAGGACTTGATAAAATATTTAAATGGAGATATCTACATTAAACCTGCATCCTGATCATTTTTGGATAGTCGCAGGTTTTATTTCTCCTTCTATGTATTTTTCTGAGGTTGGAAGGTTTGTTAGTCAGAACAGATGCACAAGTAGTGCTGCATTTAAAAATGTGATCAAAAGTATAGTATGTTTTAATTATTATTTGTTCAAATTTTAACGTTTCACATGCATCGGCTCCCACAGATGCAGCAGTACATCGATTTTAATTCTTGACAATAAGCGAAACCCTGGCTGTGCCACTTAGGAGCCTCTTAATTCTGCTGTAATTGGTCATGATAACTGCAATCATCTACAGATGTACAAGCTAGTACCATCCTGTCGATCTTGACAGCCACTGAAATGAAAAAATATGTTACAACTGCAAAGAGCTTTGTTTCAGTACTTTGTCAACAAAGCACTTGTATGTGTTTGCAGTATTTAGTTGTCAACAGCTTTGAAACTTCTTGGAAAAGTGCATTCCTATTAGGTCTATATGTGTGCATTCCTATTAGGTTTGTCAGTGGTGCTTTGAATTTTGTGTCAGTGAAAACGGTTTTTCTCCACAACTCTGCTCACTTATGCTAAAGAGAACACTGAGGGTGGCCTTTGAAATTACTATTTAAGTTTGGGGTGCTTTCTACGAACCTGCCATGCTAACCAGTGTTGCCAGTGCTCATTCTAATATTGATGAATGAGGTTTTAATCTGCTAGCAGCCTGTAATCTCTGTATCTTCTTAAAGTTCATTGTTGTTGTTACCTCCCTTTAATGGTTACCTTAATAGTTGCTGAATTTAGTGATATTGACTTAGACAGGGTGCAGGTGGATGTAAAGCTCAGGCTGCATGACTGTTAAGCTCCACGGACTAAAAATATTCCGTCCAGTTGATTATAATATCAGTCTTGTCCTAAGCTGAGTCATTTGAGAACTTTATCCTTGACTCCTGAAGAATGTTATTTTATGTATGTGTTTTTTCACCCCTCTACTTCTTGGCAGTTCTTGTAGCTTTTGGTATAAACACAATTTGTACAGGTTGTAAGGGAAAGAAACTATTTAAGGATTACCTTGCCATCTGATTTTGCATAAGTGTATTTGTGGCTGAAGTTCATGGAACAGTTTGTGCAGCTGTGAGGTTTTTTGCATTTTGAGAACTTTGATAGGGCAGTACATGTGTGCCATCAACACCCCAGGAGAGTGCTGGATATTGTGTTTATATTAGCAGCAACGTGACTTACTCAGCTCACTGATTTACAACTCTGAACGATGCCAGTTTGACAGCTTGCATAACTAAATAATGGGCACCTATTCCTTATCCCTTGCACCACACTTCATCCGTAAGTCTTACATGTATACAAATTCATGTCGACCAGTGGGGAATTAGACCTGTTCAACTTCTAAATATTTATGGGTAAATATTCGCTGGTGTGACTTGACAGTGTTCGAAAGCCATGTAGGACTTTTTCACTTTCCCAGCCCTCTACAGTGGTGTGAAAAAGTGTTTGCCCCCTTTCTGATTTCTTATTCTTTTGCATGTTTGTCACACTTAAATGTTTCAGATCACCAAACAAATTTAAATATTAGACAAAGATAACACAAGTAAACACAAAATGCAGTTTATAAATGAAGGTCTTTATTATTAAGGGAAAAAGAAATCCAAACCTATATGGCCCTGTGTGAAAAAGTGATTGCCCCCTAAACCTAATAACTGGTTGGCCCACCCTTAGCAGCAACAACTGCAATCAAGCGTTTGCAATAACTGGCAATAAGTCTGTTACAGCGCTGTGGAGGAATTTTGGCCCATTCATCTTTGCAGAATTGTTGTAATTCAGCTACATTGGAGGGTTTCCGAGCATGAACCGCCTTTTTAAGGTCATGCCACAGCATCTCAATCGGATTCAGGTCAGGACTTTGTCAAGGCCACTCCAATGTCTTAATTTTGTCTTAAGCCATTCAAAGGTGGACTTGCTGGTGTGTTTTGGATCATTGTCCTGCTGCAGAACCCAAGTGCGCTTCAGCTTGAGGTCACGAACAGATGGCTGGACATTCTCCTTCAGGATTTTTTTGGTAGACAGCAGAATTCATGATTCCATTTACCACAGCAAGTCTTCCAGGTCCTGAAGCAGCAAAACAGCCCCAGACCATCACACTACCACCACCAAATTTTACTGTTGGCATGATGTTCCTTTTCTGAAATGCTGTGTTACTTCTACGCCAGATGTAATGGGACATACACCTTCCGAAAAGTTCAACTTTTGTCTCGTCTGTCCACAGACGAGACAAAACAGAGTATTCTCCCAAAAGTCTTGGGGATCATCAAGATGTTTTCTGGCAAAACTGAGACGAGCCTTTTATGTTCTTTTTGCTCAGCAGTGGTTTTGTCTTGGAACTCTGCCATGCAGGCCATTTTTGCCCAGTCTCTTTCTTATGGTGGAGTCATGAACACTGACCTTAACTGAGGGAAGTGAGGCCTGCAGTTCTTTGGATGTTGTTGTGGGGTCTTTTGTGACCTCTTGGATGAGTCATCGCTGCGCTCTTGGGGTAATTTTGATCGGCCAGCCACTCCTGGGAAGGTTCACCACTGTTCCATGTTTTCGCCATTTGCGGATAATGGCTCTCACTGTGGTTCGCTAGAGTCCCAAAGCTTTAGAAATGGCTTTATAACCTTTTCCAGACTGATAGATCTCAATTACTTTGTTTCTCATTTTTTCCTGAATTTCTCTGGATCGCAGCATGATGTCTAGCTTTTGAGGATCTTTTGATCTACTTCACTTTGTCAGGCAGGTCCTATTTCAGTGATTTCTTGATTGAACTGGTGTGGCAGTAATCCACAGATCCTCAGCTTTCCAAAGATGTGATAAACCACAATTAATTTATGTTTTAATGGGGGGCAATCACTTTTTCACACAGGGCCCTGTAGGTTTGGATTTCTTTTTCCCTTAAAAATAAAAACCTTCATTTATAAACTGCATTTTGTGTTTACTTGTGTTATCTTTGTCTAATATTTAAATTTGTTTGGTGATCTGAAACATTTAAGTGTGACAAACATGCAAAAGAATAAGAAATCAGGAAAGGGGCAAACACTTTTTCATACCACTGTAAGTCTCCAGCCCCTCAGCATGTCTCTCCTTAACTTTCCTTCTTTTTTGTGTTTTTCTTAGAACTGACGCTTGGTCTCAGAGCCACGCCATTCAAGATCAGCAGCTCCAGTCTCCTGACAGGACCCTCCATTAAGGTACTCTGGTTTCATGCAAGACTTTATCCCAAAATCATCAAACCATTATCTTCTTATAGAGTAGGCATTGGTGAGAACACAAGGAGATTGTGGTTACAGTTTAATTTCAGCCAATGAGCAGGGCTCCAGACTAATGTTGCAAAACTATCCTGAAAAATATTATCAACTGTCTGAAAGTAAAAATTGACCATCCAAAATCATAAACTGCTTGTTTACACTACATTTTTCTCTTGAATTTTTGTACTACCATATTATGGATCCCCAAAAACAATATTACATAGCAATACACAGAGTACATGCTCAGTGCACATGAATGTACTCAGACACACAATTCATACAAACACATCTATGATCTGTAAATACAATTATGTGTCTGTGGACTGCATTCTTGAAATCAATGTGTTCAGGTTTTCTCGCAGTAACTGTTACAATTATTATAATACCGGAATGTAGCCAGTCCATTGTAATAGGCATCAGAAATAAACGACATTTGATTTGTCTTCATTTATGGCTGCCTTTAGAGTAAGAATAGAGCAATATTACCATTATTGTGGTCTGAAAGAGTTAAATGCCCAGGTGCTGTGAGACATTGTTGACTAATCACTGTATGCAGCAAGCACTAGACTGTAGTCTGTATGAATAGTACTGTCATGTTCGACCAGATTACGAACAGACTACAAATTCCAACAAAAAAGCTTTAATTGTCCCTGTTTTTAGTAGAGCATGCTAAAAAGATGTAAATGAACACAATCAGAAGATGGGACAACGTTACTCTGGAGCCCTGCAGTGAGGGCCAAAAACAACATGTACTGTTTCCTCACATCCTCCACGCATATAACATAATGGCTACCATATTGCTCCGTTCTCCTGTTCAGATGTTTAGAATCACTGTTTTCAGTAATATAAACTAAAGACTGGCCTATCAGTACCGGTGGGTATCTGTATCTTGTCAATATCGCAGAAAATGCTGGATCGGATATTGTACATGAATCCAATCCAATCCTGTAACATACAGTATCTAGCCTGAAATTACACACAATCACAATTTGCCATGCTTCAATCAAAAACGGCTAATTTTAAAGCTTAAGTTTTAAAAAAATACTAATACTGAAGGTTTTTATATCAGTATTAGGAGAAAGTGATGTTGTGCCATCTCTGTATAAAACTAATTTTGTTGCAGATACATGTATAACATTATTCTATATGATATGATAGTACTCCACAATTGGCCAGGTTTCAAGCAATTTTGTATTAAGCTTTAAAAAAAAAGAAAAAGAAAAAGAAATTTTAGATTTCTCCAGAATAATGAAGAGAGCTGTGAATTATTCTAAAATGACAAAAACTTGTATAGCTGCAAGAATGTTATTAATAACATGAATATCCAAATAAGATAACTTGACCAAAAATTACAGTAAATACTTACAACAGTGTCATCATATTATAACAAGTCGTTTCACAAAATAAAGTTTAAAATATTGTAAAAACAATGAACAGTAGTGTATTTGAGAGAATTTTTGTTATCTCTATCTTTGCATCTACTGAATACAATTTTACACACGCTTCTCCCCCCACCCACCCGTGTGTGTCAGTGTTGTAATCTTGTTTAGGGATAAGGGTGAGACGGTTAATTAGCAGGGTGACAGAGTGCTCTGGACAAACAGAGGATTAGCAATTCTGGGGAATGTGTAAGAGGGAAGCAGGCGAAAAACAGAAAGAAAACATTTGCTGCAAAGACAATGAGGTGAACCTGGGCAAAAAGAATCTGGATACAGGTAAATTTCTAAATTGGATAATAGAATTATTTTTATGACAACCTATGCAGCTTTACTAAAAATTGACTTTAGTCCAAATGGACTGATGTGACTTGGTGTGGTTTGAGGTTTGATTTAATGACAGTTGTTCATATGGCACAACCAAAAATATAATAATAATAGAATGCTTTTGCGACAGGAATGTGCACAGTGCCACAACTGTAACATATCCAACGATTCTTTAAACAGGGGAGAGTGTTCTTTGATCTCTTTGGGTGGTCTTACACAGGATGTGGTTCTCTGTGCTTTTGAAACCACTGTGATGTGCAGTACAGATTAGGGTAACAGTACAGAGCTTTAAATGGTATTGTAGAGCTATCCAAAGCTTACAACTAGAAGTAAGCAGGAAAGGGGACAGAGAAGGCAAAGCAGTGATATTTAACTGGTGCCCTGGCCAAAACACATGGGAGAGATTTAGATCTGAAGAGGTGGTGTTTTAGTGAAAGAATAAGTTCAGCTGGTGGAGAGTGAGTGTTTTGGAGGAGGGTTCAATAGGGCGAGGGGGAATGAAGTCCTGGAGCAGGTATTTAAACGATAGACTTAAAGCAATGGTTTAAAGATGATGATGCATCTTAAAGGCAGAAGAAACCCCACCCCCATCCCCAGTTATTTACCATTAGCTGGTTAATGCAGAAGGGAGTCAAGATAGGTAATGTTACTGCTAGTAAACCATATGTCACATCTTTATTAATGGCTTTTATTAGCCTCTAGTGATGGAACTTTTGATGAATGAAAACAAAAAGGACACAAAATTGTGAATTCTGTCCTGATGAGGTTGAAGGACACACTGTTGTGCTACATAAAACATAAAAATAACATAAAAAGTAATGTATTGAAAGTTTAAAGGAAATGTTATTTCACACAAGCTTTGTGACTTCTGATACAGTGTGACATGCTGTCATCCAACTTTTTGGATAGTTCTCTCTACAGCGCAATATGATTTGAGGCACGCATGTGATGATTTAAGCTGGCATTTTACATGAGGCTCAATTGTAGGATGTAAGCTTCCATTGTTGGCTGCATCAGCCATGTAGCTCAAAAACTACTAGTTTTGGTCAAAAAAAAGGTAATATTGAAAAGCAAGAGAGGGCCCTATCCTGTTTTACTGCGTATATATGTGGTTAAACGAACTGTGCTCTGGTAGAAGGTTGACTACATTTGGGGAGGTTCTGAGAATTGGATTCTTTTTTTTTTTTTGGCATAGCCATTGTTTTAATTTTAGGATGTCTCCGAGGCCACTCTCACACACATTCCGTAAAATGTTTTGATGTTGCTGGAAGCTACTTTTTGACATTGGAAGACTAAGCTGTACTCCATGATCAGTAGCCATGTGGATGAGCCATCTATAGGAAACAGGGCCTTGATCCTACCCCCAAAAGCAGAGAAACTTCAATTTGCTCTCTGTATACTGACCACATGTGTTGGCTTCATTATGACTTTATTTCTTTTTGTACAGAATAGTGAGCCCATGTGTAGTAATGACTATCTGTCCAGTTAATCTGTATTTTTAGCTGCTGGCAACATTGCATATAGTAGACTGAACATATTTGTTGTGCTTTGTCTGGCAAAGGAGGATAAGCAAACAGCAGTTGTTGGAAGCCCATAAGGCAGGGAAAGCCCACATTTTTCTTACTTTTCTCATGCCTAGAAATGACCATGGAAAAATTAGAAATGCCAGCATTCCCTAGCATGCACGAGACTTTCTGCCAGTATTTTACATATATTATGTATTTTAATGCAAGTTGTGTAAATAACATTCTTACATGTTAGAAACTAGATTAACTCCCTGAAGTCAGAAAGCTTTCTTAAGTAGCTTAGGCATCATTAAGATGTCATGTCTGAAGTAGCATGTTACTGCTGTGTGCATAGAGCTAACACTACATCCCTCAACCACAAAAAGAAGCCCAGTAGTACTATACACTTCCATTGTGAACAACATTTTCATTTATTCATTGTCATTAGCTTGTCAATGAATGGTTATGATGTGCATATTCTAGCTAGCTTTGTCAAATCATTACTTCTTTCCCATTCTGTGAGCTTCTTTGCAGAGCTGACCTGTTGACTGCTGGTATAAAACTAGCACAGATATTTTAGAAGGCCTGTTTTTTTTTTTTTATTTGGCTGATATGTTTAGATGCATTGCCGTCAATAACTTCCCTGTGCCCAGAATGGCCAAAGGCATTGGTGCCTCAATGACAGTTACCTGGTACTGACTCAAATATATGCTGGCAAAGACATGTGTCATGGTGTTTTGTCTGCATCTGTCAAGCTATGGATACGAGTTGAAGCTACGATTGGGTTGGGTTTTAGATCCTGCTGTACCTGCTGTATTTTGCTCCTAGGTCTCTTCTGGCACCTACCTTTGCTTTTAGATATCGGTAAGGTGATTCTTCACAGTGAATTGGCTATTTCAAACAATCAAAAAATGTGATCAGTCTTGATAAGCTAGTACCCTCAGATTTAAATACTTGTTTTTTTTTAACTGATTCCATGAACATTTACTGGTGTGAGCTGTTTTCACTATAGTTACTGCTTGGTAATATATTAGCTATCAAATGATCACACTGTAATCTGTATGTAAACTGTTGGAACCACAAGTAAAATTATTGCTCACTTAATATTTCTGTATCCAAAGCTTATGATTATATGATTGTCCATCTCCCCTTCGTTTCCCCAGTACAATGAAGTGTAGAAAAACTATTCCTATATTCCATGCTAGAGAAGTACTGGCAGATTGTAATAATCCCCTAATGGTTTTCTTTTTCTTAAAGTATTCTGAGGCTTTAACAAAGACTAGCATGCCTAATATGGAAAATGCCAAAGGTTATCTATGTAATGTATTTTTGATTGGTTTTTCATGCATATTATTTCTTTCAACAAAATGACATTTCCTGGACTTTCCTGGAGCTATAATAACAATAATAAAAAATGTTTTATTGTATTTTTTATTTCTATATTATTTTCATACATACAGAGTTCCATGTATAATCCAATTACATTTTTGGTTTTGTTTAGAATATATTTATATTTTACTATCACACATTTTATTTTTAATCTTAGTAATCATACTACTAAGTCCACACTTGTGCAGAGTGTCATACAGGAGACACTATCAGCATTTATACAGGATCTAGTAGCATTTTTAATAAGCCTTAAGGGTCCTTTCTCTTCACAAATAAAAAAAATGCC